GTATCTGAGGCAATAAGATTTGTTTACTCCTCAGGTCTTTACGGTTCCATTTCTTATTTTTGTCACCTGAATGCTAATCCAGATCTGCTGTCAGAGTTAGAGAGTGATGGCGATTTTACACTCTTGTTAAGCATTTAAGCGGTTTCCTGGCCACGTTAAGCCCTACATAGTGCTGCTAAAAGAAAAGCGGGCCTGTGCTTTATGTTCATTCAGGCAGGCTGACAGGTAAAATGGATGCTGATATACATTATGTGAAGGGCTGGCTGGTCTCAGATCTGTGCCTCAAGGGATAGCTTGGTCACCATGGCAAATATTCGGTTGACTTTAAGTCAATTTGATTTGTATAGATTTTGGCTGAGAGATAAATGTTTAAATTCAACAACCATTAAATTATTATTTTGTGTCTGAACTCTACCAACCAATTTCATGCTTTGCCAGACTTCTGCTGGTGGCTGGTGCCAATTTCCCCACTGTGGAAGGAGTATTTGGCTATCTCTGGGCACTCTGCATGGATACATTTGACCTAATGTGTATAAAACACATTGTTCAAAGCAATAGTGCAAAAATACTACACATAGGCTTAACCTGTAATCCACCCACCCCCTTCCCACATTCTTAAAAACATGATAAAAAATGGTAAAGAAATATTTCAAGAAGATAAAAGTGCCTACAACCCCATGTTTCTATACACATCAACATAAAGTAAATGGGCAAATGGCAAATCCATTTTCACCCTGAATCTCCACCCTAGTGTTGTGCTGCACGAAGCATGTGATCTTTATGGTCTATTATCAGATGTTGAACTCTGAGAACTTGCAATTCTATAAGCGCTACTTGTATGGCTGCCTGTGACCTTAAACTGTGAGGTGAGCTGCTACTGACGCTTCTATCGCCAAGCGCCTTAGGGGCTTCAAACAAGACATAATGACACCAGCCACAACACCAGAGCCTTTACTACATTTATGTTGTAGCTACACAATTACCTCTCATAAGGAATCCATTAGCCCCTGTTCACATTAAGGAGGGAGGCGGAGAGGAGGACACTGACTGTAGCAGTAAAGGAATAACAAAACAGGAGTAATCCGTTACATGTGAACGTCACAAGGCAGAGCAATGTTTTTATCCTGGCTACTGCCGATTTATACTTCACAACACCGGTTCAACGTCTGAGCAGCTCATGAAAGCTAGTGCGTCATTTGTCCACTGCGAACACCTGGTGTCTGGTGGGTCTTTCCTGGGGGGAGAACCTCCACAACACAGGGAGCGCTGGGTTTTGTTTGAAATAAGCATTAGAGAAACTGGTTAGTGCGAACACCACTGTTCAACAGACAAAGAGAAAATTCAAGAGAAGAGACAACAGAGTACTGAGCTGTTTGAATTACAGGAGACCTCGGAAGTGCAGGAATACTGCAGCAATCAGCACTTGCAACAAAACATGGAGACAAAAAGCAAAAATGTAAGAGATTATTGCTGCTGCCACGCTTCAAGGTTAAATCTCTGCGTATCCGTTGGAGTCGTAATGAACCAGTATGGGCTAAATTAAAGGCTATCAAACTCTGATGTGGAGTGTTTTGTCCACCTCAACCTGCTAGTCCTGCAGCACTGAGAGCAAATTAAAGGGTGTGAAGGTGACTGAGTTCTGACACTGAGGTTGGTTTAAAAAAAACAAAAAAAAAAACACCAACAAACCTCTTCTCTATCCTCCTTGTTTCTTAGTAGCAAAGAGATGGGCCTCAGCGTCGGCAGACACTAGTGTTAAAACACTGGTCAGCAGCTGTCTGAAAACATCCTTCAGCTGAGCCTGAGTCTGTGTCTGTGACGAGGGGTTGTGACAAGGGCTCATCTAAATCTGACAGCAGTGCACATTAAACTGGAATCATTACCAAATATTTGTGTGAACTTTGAAAACCCCTATGTACAGTGTTGACTCAGGACAACACCTAGCCAAACGAGCATCGCAGCTTGCCAAATAGAAATCTACCCCCGACTGGCATCAACACACCCTCAAACAGTCGCAAACGGGACATCAACAGGAAGCAGTATTATCCTTCTGTCCAAACCTAGCTTATACCCACCACTACTACACTTGGCAATACTGTACTCTAGATCTTATGGAAAGGCTCTGCACACTCCACCCCCAAACCATGCTTGAAGAAACAAGTGGAGTAGTTTAGGGGCCAATTACAGGAAAACTAGCATATTACAATATAAATCGTGAAGCAGGATACATTTGTTTACCATCAACAATGCTGCCGCACTATTCATAACTTTAATATCTCTAGACAGTATCAGCCCTAACCCTAACCACCAGCAGAACTGATTTATAGTTATATTGGATTTTTGGATCAATGTCAAGAACTTTTTTTATTAAAAGGGAATTCATTTATTGGATTATCTAAATTGTGGGAGGTTATTTTCTTTTTTCAGCCTTTTAGACTGTTGGAAAAAAAAACAAGCTATGCTTTATACAAACAAATAATTAACTGAGAAAATAATCACCATATTAATCCACTGTAAAAGAATTATCTAAATGTCCTTCTAAAATTGTACAATATTGCTCAAAACCTAAACTAGGGCTGATAATTTTCATTGCTGATCTTGTCCTTAATTAATTGATTAGTTGTTTGGTCTATAAAATGTCTTGTTTTGTCCACAACCCAAAGATATTCACTTTACTGTCACAGAGGACCAAAGAAAGCAGAAAGTATTCTCATTCAAAAAGCTGAACCAGATCTCTGTTTTACTGGGTTTTTTCTTTTTTCACTAAATTGCTAAAACCAATTAAATCAATTAACAAAACAGTTGGCAATTTATGAGCTGACAACTGATTGATTAATGCATTGATCGTTGCAACTCTGACCTATCCATATCAGGGCAGGGCCTCATCTTGTGTATGACGACACATCTTATTTTAACGTCTGCTCCTAACATCACTTTTCAACACACGTTGACTAAAACAGTCTTCACCATAGTTGTATGCGTGTTGTAGTGAGACACCACTGCACAAATTATTGTATAAGCAAACAAAACTCCATGAATTGAAAAAAAAAAAAAAAAAAGACACTGGAAACATTTTACTCAAAGCAACAATGTGTGAGTTTTGATGAAAATGTGTGAACGTGCATTCCATACTATCAGGAATTAGCTTACATTTCAAAATAGAGTGCTGCACCTTGAGGCCCCCGTGCATCTGTTATCATTTTACAACCTGCCTGTAACTCAGCAGAGAACAAACCTCCTGAGCACAATGTGCTCCACTAAGCACCTCATTACAGAAAAAGGTCCTTTGTATCCCACTGAGGTAATAGGTGGGTGGGAGGAACCTTTTGATGAAGGAATCAACACAGCAGAGGGATTGTCCCTTTCAAGACAAAACCTCTCAACTTCCAGCTGTTTCCCCATTTGTAAAAGCGTGATAACCTGTGCACTGACTCCATGGATTTAGTGCAGGCATGGTGAGAAGGTGACACTGAGAAACATACGTCTATATTACTAAAGACATGAGGCCATGCACTCACATGGTTTGGGTCCAACAGCGGCGGGAGGTAAGTGGTCACTGAATCGTGTTATTGCAGGGTGTAGTGTGGTGTGTTCACTCACAGCGTAGAGCAGCAACGCAGTATAATCACAACGTGCCAAAAGAAGGGCCAAAACAAGCAAACAATACAAAGAGCGCAACAAAAACCACAACAACACAGCGTGCTCTTCAATGAATGATACGTTCACTTTCTAATCTCATGGTCGTCGTTGCATCAAATCTGCCGAAGGTACATTATCTTTCATCATATTCAGCGGAGTCAACACTACAAAAAAAGAGACTGGAACAGTCCCTGTAATTCAAGCTCAGCACTACAAGCACAGCCATACAGCTGCAGTGTTTTTACATACTATGCAAACAAAAAGTCCAAACAGAAAGGCCAACAGCTTGTGTGGAGAAGAAACATCTCAGATAAAAATTATTTTAATAAAAATCTCCCAACGAAAACTCTCAGCCAAAACACTCAGAAATCCATTATGTCCATACTTAAAGCGATAGCTACGCTTTCAATAACATCTAAATAAATATGTATTCTTATTTTAAATGGGTTTTTTTTGTTTAAAAGAAAGTGAATGCGAAAGTGAAAACACATAAACTAAAAATAAATCCTACCCAAATAAAATGATAATGCTGGCCAATGAGGAGAAAAGCTTAGAGATCACACACGGTATATCCACACAAATCAACAACAAAAAAACAACAACAGCACAGTTAAGTTCACTGAAACGAACAAGAAAAACACAACAGAGCTGTTCCTTCACACTGGATGCTGCACTCCGGTAACAACACACATGCATACACACAGAGCAGAATAACTTCCCAGCATACTGTCCAGTCTGTTCTACCCGGGTCTCCACTCCACTCCGCTCCACGCTAATCTGTCCCTTTGTCTTCCCCGCCTGCAAACAGGAGCATCCTCCTCCACATCACACTGACAACATCCAGGACGGAAGGCATGCAGCACCCTCCCCGCACTTCTACGACCGCATCACAACAGCCATGCGTAGCACACGGAGGCAGAAATACATGTTGATCTAATCCTGTGGAATAAACCTCATTTCGGGTTATTTTCCTATCGGCGTGTTTGGCTTTGCAGGGATTTGCGCACTGGCCCTGCTGCAGGCAGGCAGGCAGGCATACACATGTGGAATGTGGAGGGAAGCACCCGCCTTTAACAATAACAGCACACACAAAACATAACCGGGACAGGGCTGGTGTACAAGTTGTGCTGAAATGCTAAATGAATCCGCGGTGTTAAAACCCCGCAAATAGCGAGGAAACAAAGAGAAAAGCTGCCAGATTGGGCTTTTTTTTTTTTTTTTTTTTCTCCTCTCCCCCTTGTTGTTGCTTATGTGCGGCGGCTAGCTCCCCACATTAACATGCTAACCGACTCTCTGGTTCGTTTCTGTCACAGAAGGAAAATGAAATCAAAATAAAAACCAAGCTAGGGAATGTCTCTTACCTGATGTGGCATATCAACCTTCACTTTGTGCAGTAGCAGAGGGAGCCCCAAATGTTGGAGCCAGGTCGCCAATTTTTTTCCCCCCGAGCCAGTGGAGTTGAAGGGCCTTTTAACAATTTTTCCCCACGCTGAAAAACTTTTGCTCCGTATAAAACCAAACTGTCAACAGAGAAGAAAGGAGGAGTGGTGAGGCAGGGCTATCTAACGGTCAGTCGGGGGGCTGGGAGGGAGTTGGGTAACGTTAGAGCCCCGGTGACGTCCCGTTATTTCTCGCATGGACACGCTGTTACGCCAAGCGTCATTTAATAAATCTGGCACTTCAGTAGTTGCCTCGCTCCAGCAGATGCAAACACCCACTGAGGAGCAAAGACTCCGGACCTTCCGACGCAACACTTCAACCAAAGTAAACTTTAAAAACTGTTCGCTACCATCCTCCACTGCGTATTCAGTTTGGGGGTTGGAGGACGGGGGGGGAAGTGGCACTAAACGCAGACCCCGTAATTTAACAGGTCAGAGGCTTGCTTGGACCCTAAACATTAACATGTCTGAATACAGGTTGTCACTAGCCAACACGCACGGCCATATTCAATTGCCACATCTTTTAAAAAGGGGTTTCGCCCGTCCCCCTTTTCTCCACACATGAGCGGACAGAACCTTGACACTGGCTAGCCAATGCGCCAGCAGTACCAGCAATACGAGCATTACTACTCACACACCGCGGGTAATATATTGTGTTACACAGCGGGGTGACTGTGAAATGGCCTCTCTACAATGACACCGCGCCAAAGCTGACTGAGTACACTGTTTGTGTCGGCGGCATGTCTAAATATTAGAGCCCGCTAGAGAGCAATAACATCAGCTAACGCTACGTTAAAAGCAGCACACTTTACTGGCCCGAAACGCGCGTGTGCCACTCGGCCTGAAAGCACTCCTCAGCAAAACGAAAAAGCCAAAGAGCAAAAACTACAGTGCCACTACACCGTGGCGACACCTTTCACTACGCGGGACACTCCGGGAAAGAGAAAAAATAACTTACATTAGTCCATGCGAAGAGAAACGTAAGCAGACACTCTGTTAGTCCAGTTTTTTTAGATCTGTATCAACATAGATTGACTGCACTTCTCCATAGTCCCGCCCCCACGGTTTACCAGCAGGCATATCTATACATATATATAATCCCCCCAGTGTCCAATCACACCTCTCCACTCTGGAATGGGGTCTGCTCCCATTGGTCGAGAAATGTATCAGTCTCACGATGAGTCTCCAGCTGCCTGCTCACCATATAGGGGTGTGTCGTGACGTAGCGGACGGCCTGCTTGGTAGTAAACAGTTTCGTAAAAAATAATGGTTAATAAAGCAAAAGAAAATATATAATTAAACGTAAAGATTAACTGTAAAATAACCTGGAAAATAATCCTGGAGCGTGTGGTGTTCAGGGCTTGTCTGCACTTATGGAAACTGGAGAGATGGTGAGAAATGTCACAAGAATATTCAGGATTGTTTTATACATTTGAGTGTGCAAGTTTGTGTTTTAGCAAAGCTGGAATTTTAAATGTTAAATGTACTTTAACTGCACATTTCTCATGATGAATTATTAATGATTTACCTATACATAATATATGAAAGTTCCAGCGTGCTCTTCTCTCCCTTTCTGATGTCTCTGTCCTGGAAACTGGCGGTAACTGATAGTATACATATACCAAGAACACAAAAACTTAGTGATCCAAGTGGTGTTTGTCCGTAGTGTATATATAGAGAGACGCAGCAGAGCTAATTTGTCTTCTTGTTAAGAGAATTCAGTGGTAATGATAGGGCCCTGAGGTGCTATACTATGTCACCCCTGGGAGGTTTTATTATAGCACTTCAATCACCACATTACCCACCCTGTAATTAGGAGTTATTCCCTTCTTATAACCATCTCTTGTCATTTTCCTGGACGAGCCATGCAGTGCACAGTGCCAGCCTGGAGGAGCTGGACTGCGGTGTCTTTTTTTATCAAGGGCACACCAACTGGACTTTAGGCCATTTGGCTGTTACAAGCATCTTTTATAAGGAGTACGGTCTGGACCTGCTCTATTTGAAAAGTGTCCTGAGATAAATTCAGTTCTGATTTGGCGCTGTACAAATATCCAACCCATGACCTTTCAGTAAGGTCCATGATGGCAACATTACAGTGAGACAGAAGGAACAAGGCAACTTGAAGCTTGCTTATCAGAGCTTTTGAGTTCTCTCGGAAAGGATTAGGGTGCTTTAAAGTTGGCTTTCTGCGCTGTGGTAAAGGAAGCCATTCTTCTCATTCTTCATGTGATACATGGCGTGTTGTTATTACATGTTAAGAAACAACTACGTCACCATGTAAGTCTAAAAGCAGTGTGAATGCATTCAGAACGAATACTGCTGCATGTCTAAGATATACTATACTATACTATACAATACTGTACTGTACTGTACTGTACTATATTGTACTATGCCAAGACTGCCTCCTCACAATTAATTTCTTTTATGAATACCAGTAACGCCAATACCAACAACAAGAATTTCAGTCTGGCTTCCAGGCTCTCCACAGCACAGAACTTCTCTAGTCAAGATATTAAATGACTTGCTGCTCACTGTCGATTCCAGAGACTGCTCAATTTTAATCCTCCTCAGTCTAAGCTTGGCCTTTGATACAGCTGAGCAGTCAATTTTAATCAGTCGTTTGAAAGAATGGGTTGACATTAGGGACTTAGAATGGTTCCACTCCTACCTCACTGACATAAGCTTCTCAATATTATTGGCAAAACCTTTTCTTCCGTGGTCGCCCCATCCTGTGGCATCCACCAAGGGTCAATTCTGGGCCCCTTACTGTTGTCAGTGTACATGCTTCCCTTGGGTAATATTATTCTCAACCATAAGAACTCTGTTACCATGTCCCGCCTCATCACAAAAGCTTGCTTTCGCAATAAGGACCCCTTGTTTGTGGAACTCCCCACCTGAGAACCTCAGGCCATCAGCTGTAGTGTCCTCCTTTAAATCCTGTCTCAAAACCTATATGTTACCTCAAAGGTGAGTTCGGCCAAATCAAAAAACCACAAAACCAAATCAAACCACTCACCTCTGTAATGATGAAGTGCTTTGATTACATCTGCTCCACACTCCCCACCACACAGGACCCACTACAGTTTGCCTACAGTCCCAGCCAATCAATGCAGGACGCCATAGCACACATCCTCCACGCCACCCTATCTCACCTGGGAGCTATGTGAGATCGCTATTCATTGACTACAGATCAGCATTTAACATCATAATTAGACTGAACACCTCACTGTGCATGTGGATCCTTGATTTCCTGACAGACACACCCCAGGTGGCAAGGGTGGGCAGGCAGATCTCATCCACCCTCATTCTTAACTCCAGAGCTCCCCAGGGCTGCATTTTGAGCCACCTGCTGTACTCTACAGACACACGACTGTGGAGCCACTTTTGACACTTTTAACACCATCGTCAAGTTTGCCTCAAGAAGAGCTTCTACCCTCAGGCCACAAGAATCCTAAATTACCCAATTTTCACTGCGATTGTACCTTATATAATTACATGTGACAAAAACGGGCAGACAAAACTAAAATGATCTGCATGAATAGATACTACTAGTGGGAAATGACAAGTGTGTGTGACAGATTTGGATGATACGACCATTCCTCTTCTTTCCCCCCCTGCAGTTCTTCCATTAGAGGAATGTTGTCAGGGGTCTCTGTCTCTAAAGTAAACTTCCTTGAGGCTAATGCAACTGCTGCACTGATGATGATGCTTATCTTGTAAGATTGTTTGATAAGTGCCTAAACATAAATGTCAAACATAAACGGTTATGTACAAGTAATTTATAGTCATACATTGGTAAATATGTGGTTTGGCCAAGAGCCTTTATAGCCTCAAGAAACTTTTGTAAAAGCAAATGAATCCTATTTTAAACAGTGTGGTTCTGAACAGCTCACACCTGCCTCTGCCCCTAAACTCCTGTGACATTTTTTTTACAAATTTGTAACTGTGTGTGTACATACGTATAGTCTATTTACTCACATGAGTATGCATGCATTATATTTTTCCTCGCAGCCTGCCTGTGTGTGCATGTGCTGGAATCTAGGCCATCCCTTGTGGCTTTGTGTCTGAGAGGCGGATCAGTCTATATGAGGGGCAGCCAGGCATATGGGCGTGTTTGTGTGGGGGCATGCGCACGGAGGACTTCATCTTCCTCTGTATGTGTGTGTGTGTGAGCCAGAGAGAAAAAGCATATACTGTTATGAGGTGCCTGGGTTGTCTAGGGGTGTTTCCACTGTGCAAACACACTACGGTGTAATAGGAACCTGAGTCACTCTCACTTAAATTGTACACACACACTTTCTTTGTAGCTCCCTCTTCCTTACTATCTTCCTTCCTAGAACTCAGAATATCTCCACCTCACATCTACGCCCCCTCTCCCCTACCTCTAAACCAACACACACATGCACACACCACTTTCTCTCCCACTCACAGGGTGAGTCTAGGAAACAGCTGGAAAAGCAAATAGTCGCAGGCAGGCCGAGCCCCGGCCCACTGGCTCTCACACATGACTGGACCTTTACTTGGATGAATGCAGTCCTCACACTGATTTTTCAGCTGCAGTCAAAGAGCACAAGGAGCAGTTGCAATTGCACAAACCTAAAGGAATTCTGCAACACACCCTTTGATCAACTTCTCAGTGTGCGGCGAGAAGATTGGTAGCAGCGTCACCCTCGTGTGCCACAAGTTTCTCAGGGAAATGTTGGCAGCTATGGTCACACAGGGGATCACACAAGGACAGGGAGCTGTCTCAGTAACAAACTGGCCTCTCCTCTGTCCCCATTTCAAATTTCATGCTCTGCCTCATCCTCCAACTCCTCAACAATGTCATCATCAGCCTCCAACGTCAATAAACTCAACCCGTATTCACAACAAATCAGCTGCATTCTTTCCGATCAGACATGAGGGAATTTGATAGCTGAGCAAAACTGGAACATGGGGTCAGTAAGTCAGCAAATACTGTACTCTATACCTACAGTAAGCCCTGTTTTCAGCTGACATAGTCCCTTTTGATTAAAATACATTAGATCTGAGTGTTCCAGTGTAGGTTACATATACATTTTGTAATAGAAACTGAATTAAATAATACATTGTGGAATGCTTGCTTCGGTTGCTTTAACCTTTTTAACTATCATTCAAGAAACACTGTCTCTATCTGCCCCTTTCCTGGCACTATTTAGCTTTCACTATTGATTGAAGGCAATAACCCCCCCAATATATATATATATATATATATATATATGTATAAATGATATTATACATTCTCTCTTTTACCTCTCACCCCATCTCAAATTCCTCTCACACGTGCTTCTGCTTATTTGGTTCTTCTGTTTTATATGTGTTCCTGCAGGAGGGAACACATCAAAAAGACAGAAAATGTGTTGGATACGTTTCAGGAATGTGGATGCATTAGGAATGTAACATGTAACACAGGCAGCATATAAGGGAGCACCTTACAGAACCATACATCCTATCATAAACCTGAAGGAGCCGCACAGCAGACAGCAGCTGTTCAACCCCCCCACAACCCCAGATAGCTTTTTTTGAATCCTTGTAGGCCACATAAAGAAAGTTTTAAATCCCATTAAGTGTTTGTCCCTTGTTATTGACGCAAAAGTAATCATGTCATTCTAATGTCTTTCCTGTTTCTAGGGGATGTGATGTTTGTGTTTCATGCCTCTAAAGCTCATTTTATTTCTGCACCCTGTCAGCAGTTAAGCATGTTTACTTTTGCATTCAAGAGAACTCCACTTTTCATTTGCTGCTGAAAAATAAAATCTAAGTAAAAACCAATACATGTTGTTTTACTGTACATCCACTTGGTCGGCGCGCGGGCGGCGGGGTATTTGATGGATTATTTCCACTCATTTCAGCTCTTCAGGAAGCGTTTAATGTGAAGAGGCTGGGCCGGGGAGAGGATACACACCAGCAAGCACCAACACTTCCAGCCAGACTGAATGCTGCACACTGCATGAAGTCATAAATCAGCTCTATCATAATACACTACCTGTGTATAGCAAGTGTCAGCAAAAATTGTTTCCGCCAGTGTCGCTAGTACTGAAAAGAAGAAA